ACACACCTGTAGTCCCAGCTACTCAGGAGACTGAGGCTGCAGGATAGCTTCAGCCTAGGAATTTGAGGTTGTAGTGAGCTATGATGACACCACTGCACTCCAGCCTGGGCGAAAAGGGAGATTCTGTCTCTAAAAAAGAAACATTCAAGTGAAGATGTCAAGTAGTCTACTAGATATTTGAGTGTGGAGGGAGAAATGTAAATATGATAATAAGCACATATAGGTGGCATTTAAATTAATCCAGGGGACTAAATGAGATCACTTAGGGAGAAAGCGTAAATGGAGAAAACAAACTTGTCAAGCTCTGTGCTTTGAGGCACTCCAGTGCTTGTAGTTGAGCTGAGGAAGATCTAGCAGAGCTAAGAAAGAAAAGCTAGTTATGTAGGAAGAAAACCAGGAAAAGTATGATACCCTATAGTGAAGCCATTGAAGAGTAAAGGATTAGTGAACTGGGTCAAGCTGCTGAGGTCAAGTTACTCACCATGAGATCCTATGAATACGTAAAGGCACCCTGAATTCCTAAAAAGAAGTATATTATGTGAACATAAAGTTCCAATTTAAAAAATAATAGCCCCTCCCCCACATCCCTTTTAAGGGAAACATGTGCTCAATAAAGAAAACCTAGAAAAATATGGGAGTAGAAAGAGGGGGGAAAAAACAACCCTAAGAAATCTCTGATTAACATTTTGAGTAATTTTCCTTGAAATCTTGCCTTATTTATAGGGGTTTTGTTTTTTAAATAGTCTAATTATATGGTACATGTCATTTTATACCCTGCTGCTTTCATTTTCTCAAGTTATATGCCACTCTGTAAAGCATTTTAATGACAACATAATATTAATAATAGCTACCATTTACTGATTGCTTATGATGGGCCAGGCACTGTATTAGGGCTGTATAAATGTACTGCATTTAATCTTCACAACAGCCTGTTAGGCAGTTACTGTTACTATCCCAAATTTATAGATAAAGAAACAGATTAAGTAACTTGCCCAAGGTAAAATCAAGATTTGATTTTCTGTGTTCTTAACCATATACGGCCTAGATAACAGTATTGACTTAATTCCTTATTGTTAGAAATTGGGTTGTCTAACTTTTTAGAATTATTACTACCACTTTGGTGGGCGTCTTCGAATATAAAGCTTGGTATGAATTTAGAATTATTTCCTCAGAATAGATTCTTGGAAACAGTTACCGGATCAGAGATATATTTTTAAGATTTTTTGATACCTAATGTTAAATTGCTTTCCAAAATGTTTTTCCCAATATATTTTACCACAAAAAGAATAGTTTAAAAATCTATTTTGATCTAAAACACAAGATACAGAAAAAGCTAGAGAAGGGAAAAACAAGGACTGTGAAGACATAGTCAGTCAGTGGCCACCAGGGGGCAACCGTATCACAGCATTGTTGAAACAAATTTCATTTGCGATAGAGGAAAAACTGATTTTATGTAAAGCTTGCAGTTTTAAATCAAGTATTTGCACTCCTTCATGTTGGATTCCATTTTTATTATATTTCCAAACAGAGGAACCATTTATTTCTCTCACTACTAGCTACTTTAAGAAATCATAACCATGGAAAAATATTTCTTTTGCCTTAAATTATCTTGAGCAAGGACAGGTCGGCATTTATTTGACAGTAAAGAGGGCTGCCTCCACTGCTCTAAGAAAAATTAAAAGTGACAACCAGCAGTGTAGACTGCTTTCTGCTACTGTAAAAGATCTAGGGTGTAATTTAAATAGACTCAGTATGATGAAGCATTCCTGTTGTTAGCCAGTATTGAAAATCATCTTTCCTGTGTATGTTTTTCCATTCATTTCTTCAACAAATATTTAGTGAGTACTTATTATGTGCCAAGCTACATGCTAGAGATAGTATATACAGTGGTGAACAAACTGACATCATTCTCGCCCTCACAGAACTTATAATGCAGTGAATAAGCCATATGTGACTCATAACCACAAACAAATATGTAATTACAAACTGTGATAAGTGCTATGAAAAAAATACAAGTATATGTGAGAGCATAGAATAGAATTGTCACTTAACCTAGAGCATCAGGAAATGCTTTCTAAGGAAGGGACCTTTACTTGAAGACCTGAAGAAGAGTATGATTTAATAAGGCAAAGGGGTGAAGAATGGGGGTGGAGGTCGATTAGAAAGACCATTCTAGGCAGAGGAAAGATCATGTATGAGAACCCTGGGACAAAGGACCATAGCTTGTTTTACAAATAAAAGCCAGTGTGACTGGAACACAGATGTAAAGGGAAAAAAATTGCACAAGATAAAACTGGTGAGTAGGTAGGGACCAGATTACATAAAAGTAAAAAATACACAATTTCTTCTAAAGCAGTTTGTTTCTCTACAGAGTAGACGATTAGAATAAAGAATAATCTTTCAATAGAGATTTTTCCAGGGTACTTTCAATTTCAAATGTTCTGCCACCCTGTCCTCACAAAAACACTTGTACTTGTCAGGCTAAGTGAGTCCTGAATTTTTGGTCAGGGACCAAAAGATTTCCAAGGAAGTATCCCTACTCCTTATTTTTAGGAATACTGAAGATTAGAAGTTAATTGACTTTAGTTTTTAATAGTTTGCCTAAATATGGTTTTCTTTGGTTTTATATTGCTTGGGGTTTGCTGGGCTTTTTTCATCTGTGGGGTGATGTCTTTCGCCAATTTAAAAAATTCTTGGCCATTATCTCTTCAGATATTGCCCTGACCCAGTATCTCTTTCCTCTCTTTTTGGGTCTCAAATTACAATTACTATTTTTTTTTTTTAAAGAGACAGAGTCTCATTCTGTTGCCCAGGCTGCAGTGCAGTAATGCGATCATAGCTCAGTGTAACCTCAAACTCCTAGGTTCAAGCAATACTCCCGCCTCGACCTCCCCAGTAGCTGGGATTACAGGCACATGCTACCATGCCCAGCTAATGTTTTTCGTTTTTGTAGAGACGGGGTGTTGCTTTGTTGTCCAGGCTGGTCTTGAACATCTGGCCTCAAGTGATCCTCCTACCTCAGCCTTCCAAAGTGTTTGGGTTACAGGTGTGAGCCACTGCTCCTGGCTGAATTACATTTATGTTAGATCTTTTAACTGTGTCCCATATGTCTTTCCTGCTCTGTTCTTTCCATTGCATTTTCTCCAAATGTTTCAGTTTGGATATTTTTAACTGTGCTATATTCGAGTCTACTAACTTTGTCTTCACTGTGTACAATCTGCTGTTACATCCATGCAATGAGTTATTAATTCACATCTTGTATTTTTCAGTTCTAGATTGTTCATTTGATTTTTTTTTTTAGATTCCAACTTTCTACTGAAATTTTGCCTCTTTTCACCTATTTTGTTTGACTTTTCCTCTATTTTCTTTCTTTCTTTTTTTTTTTTGAGACAGAGTGTCACTGTGTTGCCCTGGCTAGAGTGCCATGGCATCAGCCTAGCTCACAGCAACCTCAAACTCCTGGGCTCAAGCGATCCTCCTGCCTCAGCCTCCCGAGTAGCTGGGACTACAGGCATGCGCCACCATGCCCGGCTAATTTTTTCTATATATTTTTAGTTGTCCAATTAATTTCTTTCTATTTTTAGTAGAGTCAGGGTCTCGCTCTTGTTCAGGCTGGTTTCGAACTCCTGAGCTCAAACAATCCGCCTGCCTCGGCCTCCCAGAGAGCTAGGATTACAGGCGTGAGCCACCGCGCCCGGCCCTATTTTCTTAAAATATTTATTTTAGTTATTTTAAAGTCTTTGTATGCTAACTCTAACATCTGGATCATCTGTGTATCTGTTTCCATTGTTTATTTTTTCTCTTTATTATTGGTCACACTTTCCTGTCTCTGCATTGTCTAGTATTTTTTACTATATGCCAGACATGGTACATAAAAGTAGCAGAGAGGGCTCCCCCTTTCCTCTGTTAGGTAGATACAACGAGAAGATCAACTCAATCCAATCAGAAATTGAGGTGGATTGAGGATGGACTGCAATTTTAATATGAGTAAGTTCACCTCTGGTTCATCACTATTTCTTGGTCATGGCCCTCTAAGGCTTTTGAGAGCCTAGCAAGCCTGTGTCTCCCCGGCCCTAAAAGATTACAAGAGATTCAGCATTGGCCTTTGGTGGTTTGAGCTTAGGTCCCACTCCACACACCTTCGGAGTCTGGTGATATCTTGAGAGAGAGATGGTTGTATGTTGTAGCAGGCCTTCTCTAAAGAAATTTTGTCTCCTCAGCACAAGACTCAGAGAGATTTCTTTCCTCCTTTCTGGCCTAGCCTTCCATCTTCTGCATAGTCAGCTAATGTCCTGTGGGAAAACTGGCCTTGTGCTCAGGGCTCCTCTAGTTTCTAACCATCATGCAAGTCTCAGATGACTGCCAAAAGCTCTTCTTGTATCTCTTTCCTCAAGAAGAATTCCTTTGCTTGGGCCAAGTCTGCTCCCTAGCCTGTGCCCAGAATCCGCAAACGGGCCCTGGAAAGAAAATGGCTGGTGATTACCAGCCTAACTAGGAAGAGTTCTTCCCTTTCTGGTACGTTAGTCCATATAGTTCTCCTTGCTTCCATAGCTCTCCAACCAATATGATTTTTGAAATTTATATATTTTTTTCTTTCCTCTCTCTCTTTTTTTTTTCCCCAGAGATAGGGTCTCAAACTCTGTCACCCAGGCTGAAGTGCAATGGCCTGATCATAGCTCACTATAACCTCAAACTCCTAAGGTCAAGTGATCCTTCCACCTCAGCCTCCTGAGTAGCTAGGAGGCACGCACCACCATGTCCAGCTAATTGGTCTTTTTTTTTTTTTATTTTGGTAGATACAGGGTCTTGCTATGTTTCCCAGGCATGTATATTTTTTCAAGTTCTTGTCGCAAGAGTTTGGTTTGCTGTGATCTATTACATCCTACTTAGAAGAGAAAGCCCTTACAAACTATTTGGAAAGAATTAATTTATCACTGAAAGACTTCAAAATGAAAAGAACAGTGTAATAATTACATAACAAAGTTAAGGAAAGTATGTACCTGTGAGAGCATCACAACTGGTGGACCGATTATTGCACTGGCAGGGAAAGCAGCCATTCTTGCTAAAGCCAAAATATCCATCTTGGCATTGGTCACATGAAGAGCCAATGACACCCACTTTGCACTGGCATTTTCCAGAACTGCAAATAAAAGTAAAGACAATGAACAAAATTAAATTAGTTTAACAGTTTTATTGCCTAACATCCTAGAAGGGAAAGAAAGCCAGGCTCATGTAAACAGTATATACTTACCATATCTCAAAGCCTTGTGTCCTAAGAAATCACCTGTTGATCTTTGTATTCCTATTTAAAGCTATTGTATTACATTATATAATTTCTTAGCTAACAAATAATTTTACAGAAAAGGTAAAATGGAGGCATCTGAAAGCAGGACTAATAATAACAATGATGATGATGATAATAATAAAAACACTGAGCCACCATTTATTGAGGGCCTGTGCCAAAAAATATATATTCTCTCTAAGGCTCAAGGTATTTCTACTAGGTGGAGGTCATAATCCTCATTTTACTACTGAGAGAATTCAGAGAGGTTAAAGTTATTGTCCACAGCTAGTAAGTAAGGTTTATTTATATAAAGCCAGACTTCTCCCTCTATACCATGCTATCTACCCCTAAATTTAACTCTAAATTTGTATAAAACATTTGTCTGCCAAATAACTTGACATCCACTTGGGTATCAAGCTTCATTTTGTAGATCCTAAGCATCACAACTGACCATCTACATAGGTTCTAACTCCAGTGATGCTGTTTCTGCCTTGTCCAGAGTAAATCTTAGTCTCTTTTCTCACCACCAGCAAATTTCAGATGCTTTCAGTAAATTTCTTCCTTAACAAGAGCTGAGGAATCTTACTGTTGGAAGAGAACATGCAGTCTAACAAGGTCCAAGGCTCTCAGAGATACAAGTCCAAATATTTTGATATTTAGTTAAAGCTTAATTAAAATTTGTACTGATCATAGTATAGAAGATGAGTATTGTTTTTTAATAAAGCAACAGAAATTTACATTAACAAGCATGTCTCTTAAGTAACTTTGCAATAAAGAAAAGAAAAGAAACTCCACACACATACATACATACAGCCTTACACAAGAATACCCCAAGGTACTTAAAGATCTAGCAAAGAAAATCTGTATTCATCAAAAATGAAGTTCAGAAATATCTTACGACTTAACAAGAAGGAACCAGTCAATTTAAGTTCCTCTATACTATCTGAAAATTACAAAGGATATAATGTACCTTTCAAAGAATGGCTAACAACACTTCCTTAGCCAACTGCCAAGGTTTTTAAAATGTTAATCAACATGCTTGCTCCTCATTCCTCTAAATATATTAGATTATTCAGTATACAAAAGGATAAACAGTCACATTTACAAATAGTGTTTGCCTAACCCAGCACACGCAATAAAAAGGTATTACTTTAGAATACAAAAATCACTTAATAATATCTCCTAACTATAATATAGCCAGTATTCCCAAAGCAGTTGCTACTCCTGCGAGTGAGCTTTCCCTTCATAACTCTGCTCTGGGCACTCAAAAGACTGATTTAAGCAGGCATCCTTTTCTCTGGAGAATCTGTTCCCTGGATGCTAATTTAAAAAAAAAAAAATCCATGAATGACTTCATGAATTCTGATAAAGTAGTTGACTGAGTCTAGATACCATGCTTTAGTTTTTCCTTGGTAAATTTTAAAACAACAAGAAAGGAGGTACTTTTCTCGCTTTTTAAAAAAAAGTATAGAATTAAGTAGGGAAGTTTGGTTGTGAGACTGCACTAGGAGTGCTTTTCTACCATGTTACTCATGGCCCAAGGCCAATTTCTGCATGTATAAAAATTAAATTAGCTGGGCTCAGTAGCTCATGCCTGTAATCCCAGTTACTCGGGAAGCTGAGGTGGGAGGACCGCTTGAGGCCAGAGTTCGAGACCAGCCTGGGCAACATAGGAAGACCCCCTTCTCTAAAAAAATAAAATAAAATAAACTAGCCAGGGGCAGTGGCGTGTGTCTGTAGTCCCAACTACGTGGGAGGTTGAGGTGGGGGGATTGTTTGAGCTCAGGAGTTTAAGGCTACAGTATGCTATGATTGTGTCTGTGAATAGCCACTGCACTATAGCCTGGGCAACATAGTGAGACCCCATCTCTTAAGGGGGAGGGAGAATTAAATCACTCAGCAAATATAAAGCTTTGTCTGTGTGACTTCTTTTTTAGAATAAAGGCTTTACAACACTCCCTTTCATGGGCTCTCTCTGTTAAAGACTGTTGCATGCTTTCTGAAGCAAAGGTCAATGATATAAATGCAATGAAACAAAAAAAGGCTTACTGGCAGACCACTTAAATGCTTATCCATAGAACTGAAATGAAAGAACCAAAGACTCATAGCTTCATATCTGGAGAATAAAGGTGCATAGCTGGATTTTGAATATAAATCAGAAATCTATTCTACTGAGATCAGCTAACAGAGAATTCAAGACAGAATTTGCTGATCTGGTGTCACTTCTTAAAGACATGTGTTACTAGGAAAGCACTAATACAGTACAGAGAATTATATGAGAAAGAAGAATATAGAATATTCATAAAGGAAGCATAAGCATTGTGTAACTAAGCTGTACTAAGTATAACTATGCATATACTACACATTTCTTAAATTATGCCAGATGGGATTCTCAGATTTTCTTATCATATCAATGCTTAGTTACAGAATTTACATACTTACGGGTGTAAACAACTATTTTAAGGTTTTAACACTTTTAAAAAAGTATTTCTTAAAATGTATGTAAATAAATAACATATTTTATGACACGAATTATTAATTTTTCCAAAGGAAATTCAATGGTGTATCATCTCGAGATATGGTACATACTGATGTCATACAAATACTAGCCAAACTGTCTTTTAAAAGGTTCTGTTTAAGATGAGTGGGTGGAGAATCTTCAGACTTTCCATTATTTTATAATCACATTGATTAGGTAGGAAGGGTGAAATACAGGAAGGGAGGTATCAGGGTTTATGGGAAAAAAAAAAAAAAAAAACCAGCCTGAGGAGACACAGAGAACTTGGTTCATATTCCAGCTCTGCTAGTTACTAGCTGGTACAAAGTACTTGTTCTCTCTTAGTCTTAGTATTCTCACTTGTAAAATAAAGACAATTATACCAACCTTTGTAGGGTTATTATAAGAATTAAAGGTTGCATACACAAGGCGCTTAGCACAGTGGCCAGCATATACTCAGTACTCAAAAATGAAAGCAACTATGAAGATGGTGACAATGATCCTAGATCTTGAATATTTTCTGAGAATTGTACGTAAAATAGGTTAAAATTCCCAGTAGGCAAAGACAGGGAAGAAGACTCTAAATTATTTACTTTTAAAATCTTGTTAATGAACCTAAAAAAATGGCAAAAAAAATTAAGGGAGTAATTATTAATTTGGTACAAAAAAGTGGCTAGGAAAAGAGAGTACATTATGAATATATGATAGAAACAATTTTTGGAAAGAAAATTTTAAAATTGAGAAGGGAAAGGGTCTATAAAATCCTACATTAGGTGAGATCAAAGCCAGCCAGACCTGACATGTTTTTTACCAACTAACTAATGATTTATTTCTAAATTGCCAAATGTCTTGGCATGTTTTATGTTATCAAGAACATTGTCTATTTTCTTCCTAAGATTTACAAGATATAAATTATGTGAGCATGTATATCTTTGGACATCATATTATCAACTTTAACTCAAGCAGTCACAGAATAACTAAAAAGATATACATAGTTCTAACTAGGGGAAATTAATTCATTTAAGGTCACTCAGGAGTCTTGTTTTTCCTCATTCCTCTTCCTCAGACAGTAATACATGTTGGCACTCTGACATGGAAAGAATAAGAAACAGAAAAAATTGACAATTAAATGTATTAATTTTCTTCTTCCGCCTCATTTTTAGTAACTAAAAACAATTTAGTTTCAGAAAAGACTGAAAATATTAAGTAAAATAGTCTGAAATAAACAAAATTGCTGATTATAAGCTCTCTCAATATATTAAAATTAAAAAGGTAGCTAGAAAAAGTTTTTTCCACTAGAAAAAGTTTTTATATGAGAAAAAAATTAAAAGTTGTTAACAACTCTTAATTTCATGTTTGGGTCATAGTTTTGTAGAGGTAATGAAAATAATAGTTTCTCCTTTTTGTCATTAAAAAACTCAATAATTGGACATTTTGGCAAAAGATTCTCTGCATTTAGTGTTCCTCTGTCCTACAGTCATGGAAAAGATCATTATGCAATGAGCAAAGCTTCTTTTCTGGAGGAAAAAAGGATAGCTTTATTGTTGAAAACATTGGGCTATTATTCTAAACATTCCTTGTATTTTTGAGGGCAAATAGTCTAAAATATGTTTAGAGGAAATCCATATTCAGACAGAAATTCTTTTTTTTTCCCTCAGAGACAGAGGACCGTGTATTCCTCACAGCAACAGCAGTCGAGTATCCACATTTATACCATGTCCCCAGACTTCAACTCCCAAAGGTAATGCAAAGAGGGCCAGAAATGCTTGTATATGAGGTGAGCTGATACAGAAGAAGAACCCCAAACTCAGAGAATCCAGATCTTTTATAATGGTCGGTGAGCCCAACTGATCTTTGCCTAGGAGAGAGGCTTAATGTTTATTACACTGGACAATCAGCAAATCTGTTCTTCACTCCAGAGGAAGATATTATCTTTATTTTCCAAGATTGTTTGAATAAATAGTCCAGAACAAAGTCCACCCAGTGCCTCTGCCTGCAGAAGTACAAGAGACCTTCAGAGAATTGTCTTGAAACAATAACAACCTCTCATTGACACCATGTCTTAGCCTCTGGAAAACTTTCCCATGAGTACAACACTCCATCAGTCATAATGATTAATCTGAACAATGGAGCCAAATCCTGCCTGCCACAAACTTTCAATAAATTTTATTGGAACACAGCCATTCATTTATGTATTGTCTATGGCTGGCTGTTTTTACACTTTAAAGGTAGGGAGGGGTTCACCATGCCTTGACTATCAGCCCATTGCTGAGTGGCTTTTTTTTTCTTTTATTATTATTTTTAATTTACACATAGTAATTTTACATATTTATGGGATACAGTGTGATATTTCAATACA